AATATTTGAATGAAGACCCAACCGCCTATACCTGTTTCTATTACTGCATTTTGATATAACGACATCTTCTACAAATTATTATTTGAACAGAAAACTTGTCAATCAAATCGTTATTTGAACGACACATCAAACAGGGAAAAATATTTCGTTGGCGAGTTGTTGCAGTGGCGAGTCGTCCGTTGGCGAGTTGTCCCGTTGGCGAGTTGACGCGTACCGAATTAATTCGCGTTAATTCAAATTAATTCACGTTCAAACAAATTAATTCACGTTAATTCAAATTAATTCAAAGGGGTGTACACCAAAAATTCAAAGTTGTTTCCGCCTAGAAATGAATAATAAAATAAAACCACTCGCTTTTATGAATGCAGATGAACTCAATTTTCTTAAGTTAAGTTGAATTGTACCGGGTGACCCAATAAGACTGTTCCTCGGCTATATCTCGGGAACCGTTCGTCGTATGACTTAGGGGTAAAAAAACTTATTGCGTAAATCGGTTATGAAAAATCGCTAGAAAATATTTTCAAGTTCCAAAAATGACCACCAGAGCGCGTAACTGCCATCTTAAATTTTAAAATTGCATTTTCTTTCAATTTCGCATAATAAACTAAACATTCCTTTTTCACATTTTTAAAGAGAACCAGTTTATCTATCATTTTCGTAAAAACAAAAACTCAGTTATTTCAAAAACAAAGATGGTGTGCACACATCATGTTCAATTGTTTTCGCAATAACCTGCTGTAACTTCTTAAACGTTTGACCGATTGTAACAAATTTGGTATCGTTGAAAGGAGCATTCATTAGTTAATTTAGTGGAATCCTTCTCCGCCAGGGGGCTAGTTTTGACACTATGATCCAAAATCCTAAAAAGTCAAATGGAATGATATGACTTTTTCTTTATGAAAAAGTAGCCAAATAACATCCCAAGAGGCCAGTGAAAACCGTTTTTCAAAATCTCGTTCCTAACCTCAAATATTGGGAAAATGAGATTAATTAATTAATTAATAAAAATGCTTAAATTGTATCTTATTTGACGTATTTCCGGTAATTGTCGATGGCGCAAAAGATTGCTTGGAAAAGCACCCTACACTTTTAGGTAGGCCTTGGAAAATTAAACAAATGAAACATGATGCATTATAAAATAATAACAGCCGTAATTTGTAAATTATTCTGCTGTGTTTACATTCAGAAAGTGCAGTTTTTTGAATTTGTTTTCTAAAATGCCGATTTCTAACCAAGATAAAGTTGTACGAAAGTTGAAAAATCAAAAAAGCGTGCTTGGTCCTGATGTGGTTCTTTTAATCATGTTGTCTTTTGTATGTAACCTGCCCAGAATTCTGTTTTCATGTATGCCAAAAATTAAGGGGACGTAATACTACAGTTTCTGTTTGATTACTTGTTATGTCTTAAAAAATCTTGGATTGTATATCAAATACCTATCGCAACATTTTTATGCTAAACAAACGTTAAACGAATTGATTTGTTGAAGTTGAAAATAACACAAAAGTGGTTAACTGGAGTTTAGAATTACTAGTGTAATTGACGTGCACGTGACCCATTTGTAAATTTGTCCTCGTATTGACATATTTATTGACTTCGTGAACTATAAACTGAAAGTTGCTTTGGCGTGGATCGCGATCCAGTTTTAATTATGTTAGCTAATCTTCTGAAGAATTACTATTTATTGACGGGTCTAATGCGCCACAATGGCGCCGTTTTGTTACAGTATAATATTTAAGATTCCTATGCTAATTTCAATTCTTTTTTCTAGACTTTAACGTCACTAAAAGAAGAAGTTACGAATTTAAATACCGAAATTCAAGAACTCAAACTGGTAAGAGATCACTCCGTATCAGCTCTAGAGGAATACAAAGTGGGCTTAGCATCACGCGAGGAGTTCTTCCAAAAAGAAAAGGAACAGCTTGAACTCAGATTTAAAGACCTAGACAGTCAAAATGCGCTATTACTCGATCAAATTCAATCCCTTAATACGCAAATCACCATTATGCAAACGCAAGCTACGGAACAGCAGAACCAATCAATCGGTAGTGCGGATGTTAGCTTTAATAGATCCTTCACAGACGAGGACGTTAAGTCTTCCGAACAGCTTCTAAAAATTATCAAATACTTACGCCAGGAAAAAGACATTTCGGTTAGCAAATGCGAGATTCTAGAAGCGGAACTTTTACGTCTAAAATCTCAGCACGACCTGATTACGAAACAGCTCGAAGATGCCAAGGCAAATCTAGAGGCGGAAAGGCAGAAATCCGAAGTATCGATGGTCACAGCAGCTAAACACTCCGAAGTGTTGCGTAAAGTGGAAACTCTTAACGCCATCACAGATAGTAACAGAACTCTTCGGCAGGAACGTGACGGCCTATCGTCGCAAATTAGCGATCTCAAAGCGCGTACCGCCCTTTTGGAAGATCAGGTCGCGCCACTTCAAGAGAAAAACAAGGACTTGAGTTTGAAGTTTGACGCGTTGCATAGCGAAAATGTTTCGTTGAGAGGCGAGGCCACGAGATGGCGGCAGCGTGCCAATATGCTTATAGAAAAATCAAATCGCACAAGTCCAGAAGATTGGAAAAAGTTACAAAATGAGCGTGAGAATTTAGCTAAACAACTCGCGATTGAAAAAGGTACCAGTACTAAGTTGGGCGACGATTTGAATAACGTACGACATGAAAAAACCAAATTAGAAGAGCAATTGCGTAGCTTGCGGTCGCAAAACAATCAAGTTAGTGATGACCTTGAGAAAACACGCAGCGATCTCGCCAAAGTTAGAGAGCAAGTGACCGAATTAACTCATTCTCTCGATGAAACAAAGGAGAATTACTCCAAACTTTTGGAGGAAAAAAATAAAATTGAAGCCGATATGACGAATAAAGGTGAAGTAATTGTAGATTTGAAAAACAATTTGTTGGCCGTAAGAAAAATTGCGAAGAAGTATAAGCAGCAGTGTGAAGATCTCACTGGAACAATGGACGCATTGAAACAGGAGAACGAGGAACGAAACAAGAATGAGGCGACGGCTGCCGAGAAACAACAACAGACTCTTGCGGAGGAACGTACCTTGATGCAAGAACGTATCTCTCTGCTGGAAGTTAATCACAATGAAAAAGTAGAACAATTAACGCAACAAATTTCAGCGGCAAATGAAGAAATAAGTAATCACCAAAAGGAAATTGAGTCCTTGAAGCAGTCTGCTGTCGAAAAGGACGATAGGTTTAAGAGCATATTTAAAAATGCCAAGGAACGTCTGATAACATTAACTGAAGAAAATAACACTCTTCGTTCAGAACGTAGCCGCTCATCTGATGACTCGAGTGACAAGGGTAAAAATAGTGAAGTGGAAAAGTTAATGAAAGAGAAAGAAGAAATATTGCAGGAGAAACAGCTGGAAAAAGATCGCCTTATGAGCGAAATAGAAACTTTAACGCAAAGGGTGAACCAATTGCAGAGACAGTTGGGACAGCAAGGATCTAAGCCGACCACTAGCTCGGGAACATCGGAAAAATCAACCAGCGAACCACCGACCGCCAACATTAAACCAATGGCCGGCCATTCCACAAATACTCAAACACATTCGGTTCAAATACAACCGTGGCGAAGTGGACCGGAAACTCCTCTTGCCAGTATTAGGCCTATGTCTATGCAAGTTCGTACTGCAGCCGTTTTACCTACTAGCCAGGGTCCATCAACTAGTCAATCTCCGAGCGCGGTAATGGTGCCGCCTCAACAACAGGTTCATACCACCGGTCCGAGCAACATCGAATCCCTCTCTAGTAGTCCTACGAGTTCGCACACGGAGTACATGCCCGCGACTAGCTCGGCTACGCCCACCGTAGTTACACCTCGACAACTTGCGGTACCGCCAACTCAATCTACTCAAGATGTAGAAGATGATGATTCTACATTGCAGGTAGGTTTAGACACCAGCCCGTTGGCGCAGTTCAGTTGAAGCTGGACTGTGGTACTAAGGGTTCCTGGTTCGAATTCGAGTTTGGGGATGGATATTTGTAAATGTATAGTGGGATGGGTTGGTAGAGGAGCCTCGGCTGAAACCCCGCCCACTCAAAAATAAAGGCAAATAAATAAAAATTAAAAAAACATGTTGGTGATACAGGGTTGCCATGTTTACGAAAAATAAAACTATTTGGTCCCTCACACTTTGCATGTAGGGGGGTACCTATTGAAACTAAGGGAGCAGTCTCAAATTTATTAGTATGTCCTAGAGTATGTCATTGACAATGCATGAAGAGAAGTTGTACTGCATACCACTCCTAGATGGCTCTTTGTCATTTCCTCCGAAGCAAGAGTTTAAATTTAAAATCTGGCACCTTATTTGGGGGGGGGGGGATTCTTTGCTGACATTTAGAAACACATGTGCATTGCAGCCCGTACTTCAGCAGCAAGCCGTGGCATTGGTGTTACCAAGAGTTGAGCAACCAAGCAACGGGCCCGCGCAGGAATTGGGCACGAGCAGTAGCAGCTCAAACACGGTAACAACAACTCAAGCGGGACTGAAACGGCCTAGAGATGTAGACGCCGAGGCGTGTCAAATTGACGATCAGAGTAAACAACAGCAAAGCAAGCGAACGCGCATTCAGCAAGGGTCGACTGAAACCAGTCAACATCACGGTACCGTTACTGATAGCGGTTTAGAAGTTGAGTATCAAGTTCCCACAAGTAGCCAAAGAGATCACGAGGAAGACCACGATGCTGTGATTGTAGTCGATGAGAGCGAGGATGATGTGGATGATCCTGATGAGGGTGAAGGTGACGACAATGTCGGAGACGATCCCGATACTGAGGGTTACGATATGGAATCGTATCCAGTAAGGGGATTTACACTGACTAAGAGCGCATGTTTAATATGAAATTTCAGGAACAGGAGCTCAGTTATGACGATGCAGATTGTCAGGATATGGAAGAAGTGGAGGGAGGAAATGAGGTCGAAGTGGTGGAAGGTTCTAGTGAAGTTCCGAATCAGAGTGAACGTTCTATACAAGAGAACAGTTCTCAAGAGGAATCCCTGGAGCAGCCACAATCTGAAACCATTAGTAGTGGAACAGATGGTATACTGTTTAGATTCATATAAAAGTCATAATGGTAACATTGTAGGTCTGTCCAACGTTACTGTATCACAGGCATCTCCTTCAGTTGCAGTCACCATGCCCTCGTTTTCTCGAACTAGATCAGTTGCTCCATTGACAAGACAACAGCCACAATCCCATTTGTTACTGCAACATGGGATGGATGAAGGGGGAGATGACGGTAAGTACATAAACCTACAACTCAAACGTACAGCCCAAAAAGGTTTTTTATTTGACTGTAACAACACTTTTATATAAAAACGCTGGCTATTTAAAAAATTTAATAGGGTCACCAGTTTTCCAAGATGGCGGCATATATTGACAGTCAATGAAATTTGGTATGAATGCGTCATAGTAGTAGTATATGAAAACGGTGGCCGTTTTCCAAGATGGCGGCACAGATTATGTAAATATTAACTATTATTAGAGATAAAAACGGCGGCCATTTTGAATTTTTTTATTTGGAAGTTTATAGCCATAGTACAATTGCCCCCTTCCGTACATAACCAAGAGACAACAACATCTTTATTGGTACACCCGTTTCGTTGGGAAAACATCCAAACGCATTCTTTCGTAGACCAAGATGCCCGAGAAGTCTCTTTGAAGATGCATTTATTTTTTCACAGATATCGCCAGGTATTTTCCAGAATTTTCGTCGCGATATATACCGGATGGGGCAATAAAACGACACGTGTTTTGGGATTCAGCAACATTTTTAAGCCATATATTGCAACAAATCTTAAGAGCATAAATGAAAATTAGGATACAAGCTGAATCTGGGGATTTATTATCCACATCTGGTAAACTTTGTATGCAAAATCGTGTCAATTTTCAAGAGTACTTATTGTTTTGTTTTTACTGATTTACGAAAGCGAAAAACACCAAAAAGATTTCTTTAAACATACTTTTTATTTGGATTTTCCACTTTGGCCCGTGGCGCATATGAAAAATTTTATTTTGGCCTCTTGAAAAAAAAAAGGTTGCCATGCCTGATTTATAACATGTAAATTTATCACATACAAGCGCGAACTTCACTATTAATCACGCCGACATCGATAATGGAACTGCGTTAAATACGCTTCAATTTACTTATATAGTAAACAAAGTTTCTAGAAAAATTATGAAACTATCTTGAGAATTCTCGAATAAGCAGAGCACATTTCCCAGAAAGATTGCGCCACAACCCTCATCTGCCTTTATTTGTAATCACCAGTGACTAATTTTAATAGACTTTATTGCACCTGGTTGCGATGACGAGGAATGATTACTGCTCTATCATGATATGCGATTTTCACAGATAGTAACTTTGCAAAGATGGAGAGTTCCTTCTGAAAAAACAGATCATGTGACACTTTTCAACATTTAATTTCATGTCATTTTCAACCACCCACTTTTCAAGTCGCACTAAATCAGATTGTAGCAAACTCATGTCTCGAAGGTCTGCAATAGGTCTTATATCTTCAGATCGTCCGCAAATAAGACATGTTTAGCCACAAACACCGATGATATATTGTTTATAAAAATCAAAAATAGTACTGGACCAAGATGGGATCCATGAGGAACACCCGAACTCACTTCAATTGGATTCGACCACTTATCACTTATCTTCACCTTTGCTTTCCGATTGCATAAGTAGTTCTGGAGTAGAATCAAAGCTGTTCAGCTAACACCATGTTTTTTTAGCTTAAATATTAATAAGTCGTGGTTAACTTTATCGAGGGCCTTAGCGTAAACCGCATGAACATCAAGTCCACGGTCCAGTGAGACGAAAATGTCATTGGTGTAGCCGAACAAGTTGGTTTCAGCTGATCTGCCTTTGCTAAATTGGTGTTGGTATTGAGTAATTATAGTCGAAAAAGCATCCGTTAATTGAGGAGCAAGAATTGCTCCTTTTGTGTTACTACAGGACATATTTTTCAGTGATTCCAAAAAAAAATGAAAACAAACAGAATTTTCCATACATAAACATTTATTTGTTCGTTGGCTACTAGAGCACCTATCCGGTGAATACACGTTTTTCTTGCTTTTGTTTCAAAAATTAAGCAGTGAGCATCATTTTTGTTGTAAATACTTTAAAAGTCGAACTTGACCTAACATTTGTAATTTGTTTTGATCACTCAAATGTCAAAGCGCAGCAGTGTTGCCACAGTGTAAAAAGCGCATGCTAGTAGGACGCACGTATTCTGCAGCACCGAGTTCTGGAATACAATTTGTGTGGCAGAGATGGTAGATGTAAGATTGCACTGCAATGAGAATTGTGGTAACACCTCCGATGGAGACGTAAGGGGACTGTTTGTTTACGCATGAAAAAGTCACGTGGTCCCCAATCCTCTTAATTGTCCTATGCGGATTGGAAATAAATTATGTAAATCACAAAACTATGAACATATGCAAAATAAGGATACCTATGTAATAATCTCACTTTCCATCACCAAACAAAAAAAACGAATTTACAGGTTTATACAACAGAAAAAGGAAGAAATACAGCAAAAACGAAGTCAAACCTCCGCCCCCTCTCCCAAGCTGCTCTACCACTTAACCTTTCTTTAATACTTCCTGAATTGGCTGACATTATCCCAATGTTTTATATTATTGCAATTGTTTTGATATATGCCATATGCCATTGTGGATCTAAGCATTCAGTGTGACATTTTAAGCAGTTGCAGTTTATGGTCATTTGAAAATTCCTTCAGTTTAGTCATCAACTAATAGTGTTATCATCGGGACGTTGGGTCAAGGAACAAAGTATTGTAATCTAAATAATAACAATAGACTGTTAATTCCAGGAATAGTACCATCAACACCAACATTATTCGTACCTCGTAGATCTGACGGTTTTGGAGAAGCTGTTAGTTCTCCTCATGTTCCGACCAGCGGTAGATTTACTTTTAACGAATCAGCTCCGTCAAACAATTCTGGTTCAACCGAGGTAGTACCAGAACAAACCCTCGAATTTTCTCATGCCGATGATAATAGTACGTCACGCCGTGCTCGAGATATGTGGTGAAATTTTATTAATCTTTCTTTTAAGGTACTGGTCGGAGTGTTCCTAGCACGCCGCTTCAGACTTCACCTCAAGAATCGGGGCCCGCCGGCGAGGAACACAGTTCCCAACAAAGCACTAGTTCTGAACGTAAGGTGCACACAAACTAAGATTCATAATTGTATTCACGAATTTATAGCCGAAATACCAGTCATTACCGTAAGCGGAGTGAGTGACGAAGGTGAATCCGAAGGAGGAATGCCTGAAAGCATGGGACCTCCGAGCACGGTTGGGGAAACTTCAGAGGCTTCCGAACAACGTGAGGACGTTCGTGAGAACGAGGATGGGGTACGGGCCATAACTTGTAGATTATAAATGTACTAATTTGCGAATTAGGTAACATCCGAAGGAGAGAAACCGCCGATTTCTGAAGAAAGTGAAGAAGAAGGGAGAGAAGCCGAAGCTTCGCCAAGCACAAATACTCGATCCCGTAGTAATAACGTTCACAGGGGTGGCGGTGTTGCCAGACGTTCGGGAAAGTATGGCAGTCCGATGCATGGAGGTATTCCAAGGCCTAATCCTACCCCTATTGTTTGGGGGGATCAACATTCTGGTCGTCACCAATGTAAGTAGAGTACTTGTTGTCTTAAGCCAAGAAGTATCTGATTTTACACACTTAATAAACATGTTGGTCAAGGCTATAGCAAAGGGTACTAAACGATTCAGTGTTATCGAAATATTTGTTTGCTTTTTAATATAAACCAAATTACAAATTTTTAGGTTATAATGCTGTGTTGGCAATTTTTAAAGTATTTTCATTCACCTAAAACACTCATAGTGACATTTTTGTATTAAAAGACAGTTTAGCCAATGAAAGAATTATACTAACTTTAGTGTGCCCTGGCAACATGGTTTTGTGTAGAACTCCAAACTTATTAGATGCATCGCCTCGTTTTGTAATGTAGTTGGAAAAAACTCAGCAATCTGTAATCAAATTAGTTTGATACTGTATCATATGCAAGAACAAAAATTAAATAAAACCATTGAATTTATAACTATCAGAAGCGCAGGTTAAATGGCAGGATATGTGACTGTTTTCAATAGTTTAAATTACAAGACGTAGATGTCTCTACCATCGAGAAAGATGAATAATAATGTCAGTTTTTTACCTTTGTTAATTATTATACAGGAATCTGTAATGAACCCACTATCTCGATTTGTAATTGTTGTATACAGAATTCTAGATACCCAAGAAACGTACTTATAAGGCATTTATGTGGCACACAGGATGTTGAATGACGTAAGATAAACATTCTTCCTTTCATGAATCGTGACCTTACTTAACATTCCTTAAGGAAGATTGAATTACATTTGAACAGGAAAGCAAAAATACGCAGGCATCCTTGATCACTGTAACAGAAATTAAATGTACCTACCTATCTATTCTTAATTTTTGTGTGTGTCGGTTAAACCGTTGCCACCGGTTAAACTACCTAGGACAGGGGTCGGCAACCTATTGAAACGGAAGAGCTAAAAATTACAATTTACAAAATTTCCCAATTCTTAAAGAGCCACAAATAATTTTTGATTCAATATTATAGTTTTTGGCTATATACAGGGTCTGCAACAGTCCGTCGGTTTTTCCTACATAGCTGATAGATACCTGGTAAAAATATTGGTGGTTGCGGATCTACAGAAATTATTTTTGAATGTACAGGGTGTTCCATTTTTACGATGTCAATTAATAACTGATCTTTTTAAATAGAACATCCTGAATATTTGGTTGTTTCAATGCCGTTTGTTCAAAGTGCTATAACTATTCTTTTTCAAATGGAACTACCACTATTTTATTTCGCTATTCGCTTTTGTCTTCTCTTAAATGTTTATAAGGGGTGCCCTGTGCTTAAACTCCGCAGTGTTTAGGTTATTCAATATTTTTCACAAAAGTACCTACTCATTAATTAATTACGTGTTTATACATCGGAGTAGGCTGGCTATAATAAAAAAAAACAAAAGAATACCAGAAAGTAAACAAGTGTCAAAAATTAGATAATTATTTGCTGCAAGTATACTTTTGATACAAAATAAGATTAATTAAAAAGGCGAATTTCGAACAAATGAACTAATTTCTTTAGATAAATACGGAGAGCCGCAACTTTATAGGTATCAAAAGAGCCGCAGGTTGCCGACCCCTGATCTAGGATCACACGTCACACCTGGCAATTTTGATACAAAATAAAAAGGTCGTTAACCTCTTTTCTTTTAAATTCTGACGTTTGAAATTTGTTCTCAATGGTTAATCGATAACTTATCGATAATTATCGATTAATAGATAGTCAATCGATAAATTTAAAAAAAATGGTCGACCGGTCAACAAAAAAAGAATTTTTGCGCATGGGATTTACACAATATATATTCTGACTATAATAAGCAAAAATAAATAAAAAGTGCGATTAAGACATCGAAAATATTTGCTTTTACAAAAGTTACAGCGATTTGATTGAAAGCTTTCAGGGGCGAAAATTAAAGCTGGAATCTTTGTTTTCCCTAAAAAAAAAGAAAAATGGAGGGTGATATTTTTCCGCGGTTACTTAGCAAAGAGGAAAAAAAATCCTGGAACAGTTTTAAGGCAATAGTCCATGGTTTCCCGTTCAGTGTTTCCTGGGAAACCATAGAGCTGAAAATTATGACGAGCTGACAGGATTTGGTTTTGTATCATGGGGTATAGAATGTCTCTAAAGAATAAAGATGCACAGGTTACATTCTCATTTAGATCAATTTAAGGATAATATGGGAGCTTATTCGGAATAAGGACAACACTTTCTCGAGACAATGGAACTTAGGCACCTTCCCAAGGCCAGGAAGTTGGAAGCATGATGGAAGATCAGATTCAGTTGAACATGACAAAAACAGCAAAACTGTTCCATTTTTAAACATTTAGACTCTAAGATAAACAAATTATAAATGTAGAAACGTTACCATTTAATAAATCATGCCTATGTAAGTAGGGATTCTATAGGTATTTTTATTTTTTGGTTTTTTGCATTTTTTTCACACAAAAACAAATACATAACCATTTTTTGTTCTAATTCTTATTTGTGGCTGTAGAAGCAATAAAAATAAGGTATATATGTCCCATGCGCAAAAATGCTGTAGACCGGTGTAATTTATCGAAAATGTTAAAGGATTGGTCGATAAACCTATAATTACCGATAATCTATCGATTAATCTCACAACTAAACTATTAAGATAGATAATTATCGAGAGAATTTTTAACGACATAAACTTTTCAATGTTTAGGTATACCAGTTTACTTCCAACAAAAGCGATGTAAGAGCATTGTTGAGTTGCCATATGATCACAATTCACAACCTACTGCTGTACTCATTTTTGAGGATTATCGTCCTGTTTTATTTAAATTATCTCTCGCAATATCAATACCAAAAAAACAAAAATGTTAGCGAGTGTACGCATGGATGATGTAATATATCGATTGAGAATATATATCGATGAGATTTATGAAAAAGTATCGATAGTTTTCTCTTGATAATTTCCGCTACTTATTTATTAATCGATAAATATCAGAGATAGACAATTTTCGTGGCAATAATAATCGATTATTATCAGCAGCTAACAATCATTATTAATTATTTTCAAAAGTTATCGATAATTATAAAAAGTTATCGATAATTATCAAACGTTATCTTTCATTATCGAAAATTAGCCTTACGATTTATCGATAATTGTCGATTATTATCGAAAGTTAACGATAAGTGATTAAAGTTATCGATAATTATCGATAGTTATCAAATAATGATTAATCGATAATTATCAGACTGAACAGACTTATCGATAAATCGATAACAATTTCATTTATCGCTCAGCTCTAGTAGGTATACGAATTCACGTAAACTGGGACCGATTTATTTGTGCACAATGCTGCATGGTTATAAAAAAAGCTGATTCGAGAAATTTAGTTATCAAATGTGAATGTGGAAATGATGTAGCTGCCTAGTTGCAACGGACAATATTTTGCCTTAAAATTTTTTTTGATCGTTTTTTAATAACAAAATCTCCCGCTTTCAGTAAAAATGTGGAACCTGCCTATTTTACTGCCTGTGAGTAGAATGTATGAAATTGCATTCCTTCAAGGACAAGGACTGCAAGCTTCGTTCGTCTAAATGTATTATTATTTACATTACAAATTTACGCAATGCTTCTTAAGGGATCTATTTTTAGAACATTCCAATCCTATTTATAAAACCATTCCAATGATAACACAAAAACATCCCGAGTTCCTGACATCTAACGATTAAAAAGGAAAATATTCGAATGGTCAAAATAAATGGTTTGTAATGCTGCCATCTAATGTCAATGTAACGCTCCACTTTCGATCGCCCACGGACTTTCAAACGATCGAACTGCTCCTAGCGGCGGCCAGTTGGCACATGGTCACAAACTGTTATATGGGATCCGCGCTTCTGATAGTTATAAATTCAATGATAAAACAAATGAATTATGAACAGCGCACACCTTTAACATGAGCTGAATCTCACCCCATGCGATAGGTTAATAATAATTATAAAATCTTTCTTTAAATAAAGACCATATTACTATTATTATTATTATTATTATAAGCAAAAGCGGGCCTTTAATTGTTTATTAAAACTTCATTAAAATAACTGCAAGGATAACCCTGGAAAAATGTAAAGTAAAAAAGATGAATATCACAAAGTAAAAATGCAAATTTGGTAAATGTTTAATGGAACACCCTATATTTTTCAAACATTTCTGATTTCAAGAATATATACATTTGCTCTAGCCGTAATCAACACACATTATAATGTTGACTATATGTTTAGTCCCTTGCCATATTTAAAACATCGGATACGTCTTTTTGGCTTAGAACTGAGGAATAATCTCGTGGTAAATGGCTTATGTTGTGTTTTAAGTAGCTCCTAGAGGTCGGGGAAATCAAGGAAATTTCTCACGTGTCGCAAAGCGAGGTCGGGTCAGAGGATCGTCGCGCCCATACAATCGCTTTTAACCACTTAAATCATTCCTCATTTAGATTTTACGTATTTAAACTATTTTGAACTATAGTTTGCGTAGTTTTAAAGAATAAAATAATTTTGTTCTAAGAAAGGACACCCAGACTGAGAATTTTGCGATGTTCGAGTAGGGTGCATAACGTTGTCTAAATTTCTTTTGAAAAATAATTGCACTCCATGTGAATATAAATACTGTTCCCTCGTAACATTAAACTATTTATTAGTGATACCAGATTCTTTGGAATATAAACATTCTCCATCTTTGTATTAAACCCTAGTTTTGTGAAATTGAATTAGGTTGCTTAGAATTTCTGTGTTTTTTTTTAAATATAAGTTTCTTTACTTTTGATGTTTGTATTTCATCGATTATCCCGAGGAACCCAATCCATAGCCATTGTCACAATGTTATATCAACCTTAAATGTGGGGAATGTTAAGCGTTAAAAGCAAGTAAATAATTTATTCAGACAATGCTCTGCTTAATTCCGGACCCTTTTAACTGTTGTAAGTATAGTAGTCTCGATAATCCGAGGCAATTGGGGCTGCTGGTACCTGGGATTACACGGAAAAACAAAGCCATTCAGTAAAACCATAATTCTATTATTTATTTGTAAAACAATTTTTAATTGATCAAAGTTTTTACCAGACTTGTGATCCAATTTAAAATACTGTCTTACGACCCAATTCCTTAGCATGTAACTATGTTCACTACAATCTAATGTGCGGAAATGGAAACAGTCACATTGGTGGAAGGAACTCGACATGGCAGCCAAATCGGTTGAAACACCACATTTTAAGTCCTTGGAAGTTTCACACTTTAAAATTGTATTTATGGTTAGTGGCATAATCACAACTAACACATTTAAAATGCCTGAAAGGACTTATGATTAGTTTCATAATTACACTGACCATATTTAAAATTCTTGGAAGTCCTATGTACTAACAAATAAGCTTTAACAAGGGAATTACTATTTGTGGCATAATAACTTGTTGCTGTTTTTAAATCCTTGGTATCCTTATGTTTTAGTAAATGTTCTGTGAAATTAAATTTATGATTAATCGCACAATCACACTGGACACATTTCAAATTCTTGAAACTTGTGAATTTGCAGATGTTGTCCAAAGTACCCTTTGTGATCGGATGCGTAAACACACTGGGTACATTTGAAAACTTCCGAATTTTGCTACCTCTTGGTAGGTAAGATAGCTTCTGAATATTTGAAGTCTTGAAGATGTTTCCTAAAAATTCATCTTCCCGGGTCCTTCACTTGATGCGGTGTCTGTACGTTCTTGCTTTATAGGTGTCCACATAAAACTGCTATGGTAAATCTTTTCATCAATAAATGTGTTATCTTCTTCCTCTTGTTTGGTTTCAACTTTAACAATAGCAGATAAGATCTGTGGATAAGAGAGCCCATTTCACTTTTAAATAAGTAATACAGCCTAATACAGGGTGTAACAAGGGCCGCATTCATGAATAAAGCAGAATAGCCTACGCATACGATTCACTCAACGCTAAGAGACTACGAGTAAAGATAAGAGGTGTAATGGTCCTAGGGGGTCTATCAAGGAGACACTGAAAACGTTGACTTACCCTATACTTACCGTTGAAAACTGGGAAAAAACTACGACCAGAGCCACCTATCTTTCAAGTCGTAACAATGGACGTTTCGCGGCATTTTTGAATTTGGGTGGCAGTCGGCTCGATATGGATGGCATGAATGAACTCCTACGTTGTGTAATCGGTTCTTTATGTGTTGGGACGTGAGACATCATCGGGAAGGGAATTAAATAAAAGACAGAACTTGTGCGTAAGAAATGACAAGAACAAGCAGAACATATTGTTGTGTAAACTTCCTAAGCCTGAAAGATACCCACACAACTTACCCTTACTAGCTCAATCCCACACAAACTCTTAAAAACACAAATCTCAGGGCCCGTAAAATGAGTCCGACCACCCCTTTTCTTCGTCCGGACAAGGGGTAGCAACCTCGCCAGGTCGGTGGCTAATACCTCCCTTAAATTCCAATATGAAACTTTACCCCCAGATTTAATAAACTTGAAACAAAGTAAGAGACGCCGACAATTACCTCTCTTTGACTCTAATAAACAAAACCTGGATTGCAATGACTGGTTTAATTTCAGACAAAAAATTTCGTAAATTTCTGTTTTACAAATTGTTACAATTTTAAACAGATAAATGACACACAAAAAAAAACACAAATTACTCAAACATTACAAAAAAAAACATGACAAAAACAAACCACTAACTACTACCATTGAATAAAAACACTATAAGAAGCCTAACGCTTATGGAAGAAAGCGCGACAAATCTCACAAATCCCCTTGCACCCGCATTGGTTGTGACCGCCGAACTCTCATTGCGGTAAATAGGAGGAAAGCAAATTCTCATTCTTCTCAGTTCAAGAATCGACTCTATTGACAGTGTTCCCATTATATTCTCAGTTCAAACTCTGTCGCGCTTTATTTCCACGGGGTTAGGCTTCTTATAGTGTTTTTATTCAATGCTACTACTTACTTTAAAATTTGTCCGAGTAACGTACTCTCATACAAAGAGGTATCCGTACACGATCACAACAACAAAATTTTCACACAACCAAACACTCAAACACCGACGTCTTCTCTCTTCGGGTACCCACAATTATTTTCAAAACTTCCGTGTTTCCGCAAAATAAAAAAAAAAAACAGGACAGCGACAAACTTCTTAAACTTTTCAAAAATTCTTCTTAAACGGCAGACAAAAATTCTAACTAAACCTGGATCCACTACGCAAGAAACTTCCACAAAATTCAAAAATCACGTAACCGAAGAAGCGCCGGTTGGCTTTGTAACGACTAAAAAGCCCCGCTCTCTTCAAAAATTTTCTATTTAAGCCAAAAGCCCTTCTCCTTTCTTCAACATCCCGTCCGCCAATCACGCGAAGCGTCGATTTTTCAACTTCTTGCTAAACGGCACGTACGCCCGGCAATTCTGCGAAGACAACCTTATCTCTACTTCGCGCTATACCTCGTTAACGGCAAATAAAAATTTAAAAAGAAATTTACATCGAAAAAAATTCTAGGAATAAAATAAAAACAGAACACTTCTAAGAAATTGAACCAAAACTATAACATGAAATTTACGCAATCCTGTGTCTCAAATTATTAATAACCCCCCCGGTTAATTAATTGAACTAAACAAAATTGTCACATCCAGACGCTCTATAATTTCTTTCAAGTTACAACTAAAACAAAATAACACAACAATATTTTAAATAGAGGAAATATTAATGAGAGAGCCCCTAAATATCTCGCATTGCTAAGATGCTAAGCACTGCAATCCGCACGAGACGAGTAGACAACAGATACAGCGAAAGATCGAACTGTATTAGGTACCTACTCCACGTGGAAACAGGTTGAACCACTCGCACAATCGAAACATCACATAAGAGAGCCCCCCTTCGTATGGCTAACGCATAAGAACTGCAGCGCGCCACGAATAAGAAAGTAACATACAGCGGACACTCAACTTCCCTCACGGAATAGTTACGGATCAATCGAACAGAGCAACATCGCATTGATAATCAACTCCTCGTGAATAACAGAAATAAATACTTAATAGAACAAAATAATGGCATAATCACCTGTACCGTATAACAAACACGATTCATCTAATGGTACTCAAAACAAAAGCATGGAGTACGCCATATTTAGATGTAGTTTATGCAAAATCAGCACAATGTAAATATCAAATTGTGGCAAGAAATTCAATTATTAATAGAATACAAGAAAGAATAAAATGGTTACTCCTTGTAATTACACGCTCAAAACACCACCACCAAAATAATCAAGAATAAAAAAAAACCGGGAACGCGTGATGCCTTCCGTCGACCTCATCGCCATCTTCTTTTTCTTCCGCCAAGCTCTTTTTTTTCCTAGCTTCGTTACGAAAATCCCCTAGTATTCGGCATCTGCGCAAAACGGTTGATTGGTTATATACAGAGCATATTATATTTTTGTTTCAGATGTAAAGGTGAGTTGCCTAACCATAAAGGCTGATTCAGAGTTCCGTAACGGTATGAGGTATGAAATAAGAAATAAGCGGTAATGTAAATCCGTAACAGGTAAGGGAAGACTGTTTGCGTCATATGTTGTCAAACTGACGTTTGAGATTGTAGTACCAAAGGTTATTTTGCTTTTCATAGACTTAGGTAAACGAATATGGATAGTGACATCATAATCATAGCGCTTCTAGTGTTAATACACCTTCAACACAAATGTTTAACGGTCGAATACATTCTCATCTTAATAAACAAAACATGATTCCGTAAGAAATAAGGTATAAAATGAAATAATCAATTTCTTACTACTTACGTCTTGCATCTTACGGAAAAACTCTGAATGTCACCATTATAATTTAAATGTTTATTTTTCTTATTTCTTATCGTTACCGCTCACCGTTACCGTTACGGAACTCTGAATCGGCCTTAAGGGTGGATTATTCACAGAGGAGAGAATATAACGGTGGTGGGAATCTTTTTCCATAAACGTCAATATTATATCTGAATTATTTATTATTCCAGTAACGAAAAAACACACTTTAAAGACAGTTTTACAGTTAATAAGTTGAATCTGCTAAACACCTCGACCGAATACTATTTAAAATATCTGCTGTTTATTTAGTTTTTTACACTGCTGTCAAATTGGTAGTAAGGTGGGTTACATAACTGTCAGGCATATCAATGCAACGAGAATTGAACATGAGATTTATATGTTCAGAGTTAAAATATACGTACTGTATATGAATTCTTAATTATTCCAGTTCTCTTCTACTAATCCCTGCTGGAATTGCTTCATTCAATGTTTTTGGCCAAATCTAATTTGCCAACTTTTGCTTGGCTGTACCTTTACCCACCTCGTTCACCTGCCCACTGTTCTCCCAGTTTGCTTTTAACAAACCTGTACCTGCAACAACCTATTATTTGTGGTTTTTGCAGTAGAGTACGGCACTCTGGATTTGCTTTTAATGTTAACGATTAATGAAAATTTGACTTTTTTTTTGATAATAAATACATTTTTGGTCACCATAGCAGTGTTTCCCTACTACTCGTAATATATCAAAAGAGAAGACCTTTCTTCGTTGAGATATCCTCCGATTTGAAATTTAAAGCGAAACCTTCTGAGGTTAGATGGTCAATTTGAAATATTCTTGCTTCAATATTAATTCCCTACAATTGTAAGGAGCTTCGTAACAGTGTGGCACCTAGTAAAACATGCTAACGAAATGAATTTAAACAAGTACAAGTATGACATATACGTCCAAATAAAGCGATTTAATGGATACCATAAAAATCGTATATAGGTAAATATCGGCCTTAAATGGAGGAAAAATAATTTCACAATAGATATCGCTTAAATATAAATATCACACATCTTTAATAAGTATAAAAATAAATAAATAACTTACATTAATATCTTACAAATCACATTGTGTATTAGATAATTAATACAACGAATTATTTACAATAATTGCATTCGAATGCCTCAGTCACTTTGAAATTTAAAATTAAGTAGTCTCGTGTTTTGACATTAATTATTTTATATCGTTCTTTTTCGATTGGCAGGAACATCTGGTATGATTTGTAACTAAGAACTCTCTAAATTCCGAATTTCGTTGTCGCACCGTGTCCGTCACGTAAAAATGGAGTTCCACTTGTTCCGAGTGGGCCACCGTGCACACGTGTGACTTCTGAGAGCAGCAACCGGTACCGGAATCGCACCTGTAAAAGAGAACGGCAATTAGAATTTAGACGATATGTGATTAGATGCAGTTTTGGCATCCTGTCTCCGAAGTACTAGTAAACGTAGGTTTATCAGTGGTGTGCGGTAAACTGTGTTGATAAATGAATGAATGGTGATAAAAGTTTGTTCATGGTCATGGGCAGATATCTAAAACTTCCGTACAGCGGATAAAATTGATCCCGCAATTAAATTTTTCACTTGAAGCTTTTCAATTGGTTCTAGGTTACAAGAAAGGTGGTTGTTTGATTGGAACAAAGAAGAATTCTCCAAAGTTAGCCAATTCATTCAAAACGTGGAATTGGCAATTAAGTATTAGGTACCTACAATAGGTAGGTACAACAAGCACATTCTGCATCGATTAAGGATAGTAGGTATATATACTTATACAGTGTTCCAGATAAGTCCGTAAAATAGTATATTATATGGAGTTAAAGTAATACTTTTTATGACGAGTCAGTGTCAGCAAAACCCGATGGTGATAGGTAGCGCGTGTGCGCGTCGCTCTTTAACCTTTTAGATGTTTATGCGTTGGTATTTGCAATGTATAAAAAAAGTACCTACTCGTTGCCAGTGGCACCGCCAGACAAACGTAAACAACATAAAATACACATATGGTTGATAGACAACACAACAAAAATGAAGGTATTTGTGATTCAATATTTCAAAAACTTATGAAATCTAGTACCTTACTTAACCTATATCCCGTGTGCCATTGCCTACATCAACTTGTTCAATGTTGCGTTTTGACGATCTACTTTTGCGCAATACGATCTTCCCGTGCGTAACATAACAGGCACCTCGCATCCTGACAGCACACGGTATGCTAGATTTCATAAGTTTTCTAAATATTGAATGACGAATTTCTCCTTTCTTTTGTAGGTATGTCAAGCAAATGTTATGTTTGCGCACAGCAAATTGATGGCTCTTTTCAAATACCTTAAGGAACATAGGCATTGCATTTGAAAAACATACCGGAAGTTTCAATATGCGATTGGATTGATCGTAATGTCGTCACATATAAAATTATATTTGACACATTTTTCGGGTCCCGCCAAATAAAAGAGATATTGAGGATGACCCTCTTATCTCGAACCATTGAATAAAAACACTATAAGAAGCCTAACGCTTATGGAAGAAAGCGCGACAAATCCCCTTGCACCCGCATTGGTTGTGATCCACGAACTCTGTTTGCGGTAAATAGGAGGAAAGCAAATTCTCATTCTTCTCAGTTCAAGAATCGACACTATTGACAGTGTTTCCATTATATTCTCAGTTCAATCTCTGTCGCGCTTTATTTCCACGGGGTTAGGCTACTTATAGTGTTTTTATTCAATGCTCGAACGCACTGTATAGCTATAGTTTTCATAAATGTTGTCACCATACAGTGTAAAACAAAAACGATAAAACAAGTGGTGATGCTTGAAAATAAATACGAATGCAACTCAAAACAAGTACGAGAAAAATACATTATACCGATGAGAGAATAAGCGTTTATGGAAATAAAGACCTCCCTCTTTGTTGACAAGTCATTAAATTCTTCCCACTAGTCGTTGTAATCATAAAGGGTAGCAATAAAGTCACCAACTACAAGGCGTAATTTTGAAGTACGTACCTACTCTTTGATATGCGAAAAAAGAAGTCAACTTTTATATTTAAATGAAACTTGTTTACTACTCCACAGATTAATTACCACCAATTGTGATATCGAACGATGAGGTTTTGTACAGCCGCTTTGAGGCATCTACTTAACAGAGTTAGACAAGCAACAAATTCGGATACTAGCCCAGAAATAAGATTCAGTGATGAAGACGCAACCGACAATGGAAACCATCTTCAAGAGTAAAACAGACAAGTCAGCAACGGCGCCAGACTTTTAGGTATGGCATTTGCGATACAAAAGTATACTCCATTGCTACTAACGTACGTAACAAAAAATACCCAGAAAATACCAAGAGGACATTTTACTAAGAAAGTTTAATGCACATATCCATTGAGCTATTCCAACAAAAAAATTAAAAATCATGCCTATCGTCCTAAATACCCCCCGAAAAAAAAAGACATGGAAATCCTCCATACAAAAGCTTGCTGAGTACCCAGATCTATCTTACAGCCATCTCATAGCCAATTCCTAAAAAAATCTAAAAAACTGATCCCCTTAAAAAAGAAGACGAAACGCTTGGATGGGACCCAGATTAATTGTGGGATTTTATTCGATTTTTAAAAGAACTACATTTAAGTAATTTTGATAATATTAAGTTTACCACAACCGTAATAAAAGATGTTTCCCAGGAGTCGAACCATTTGAATAGACATATGGCGTATTTTAGTGCAATTCCATCAAGTAATAGCGTAAGGAAAATTCAACCTTCACAGGTTTAGAAACGGCGGATATGGTTTAGGGACGGTATGTTGCGAAACACTAGAGGTACTTTTCTTTTGCCCAAGATACTTAAGTGTACGATAGCAGATATATCATGCATAGCTAAACGTTCAACAAAAAAAGGTTGCAAGTAAAAAAGTATATTTTCAAGACGAGTGTTTTCATCAGGACAAGTAAAACATCTCCCAAATAATACCTATCTCCATACCCGCAATAGGTATAAACTACATTTCTGATCGGCCAATTGTTTTCGAGATCTAATTTCCATACATCAAAATCAAGATACGAGCGAAGAAATTATTTCTTGGGGCAATTGACTGACTACATTACATTATTTTTAATTGAACGAAATCACTACAATGCATCTCCAGAAAAAGATAAAAACAACTCAGGGAGAGAAACACTACGAGCTTCTCGTAACTCCTAGACTCTTTCTAACGAATTATAAATTACTTCGGGAGGACATACACGATCGCAGTGAATATCCCATTTGTACACAGGAGTAGAATGAGAAGTAAAACGTAAGGATGGTGTGTCACCTCTAGAGATAATGAGGGACACTATGCATAGAAGTATCACCTTTATATATACGTGCAATAAAGTGAGCCTCTAATAATAAGGCATCGTTAGTCAATTTAGTTGTTATCTCTATATCATTATTACTAGCTGGCTCTAACGGTGAGTAATACGACTTCTACAATGAAGGTATATACCGAGAATAAGCTATACCTAGAATAAATGTCGACGGTTGCGTTTGTTACCATTGTGTCAACCAATGGCATACATGTTGCTATGGCAGTTATTCCAAGAATATCTTATTCTCCGTAAAAGTGTAATTGTAAAACCGGCCCTTAAACGACTTTCTAATCTCTTCGCAACTGTACATACCTAAGGTTTTGAATTTACAAATTTTCCATTATAGGAAATTTTATGCGTGTACCGCTCTATAATGACAGAGATCGGAACTAATATGCATACCTAAATATGAAAATGAAGCGCGTTAGATAAGAAATGAGTGTATAAAACAGTGTTCTAAAAACCGTCCTTGCGGAGCATGATGGACGCACTCGGCACTTTCTGCCATATCTACACATGTATAACAAGTTAAAAAGTAATCGTAAACGATTTACATAAAGCGCATTTCCACTTGCATTCATTTCCCATTTGTAAGATGCAACTTCTGTTAAAATCGTAAAAATCCGGCCACAAATATGAAAGATAGCGTTGCACATGGGCAATCCATTTTTGACGTGTTACTTCAATTTCAGTTTATGAGAAGAATTTCATTTCAATGCTTTTCTAAATAAGAAAGTTGGAATTGCGCATGCGCAAACCTAAATTTTAAAACTAATGTTAGATTTTCCTTTGTTCCAAGCGCCTAAGTATCAAATTTCACTTAAATGGTGCCATAGATAAAAAAGTTGGCACTGCGCATGCGCAAAAGAAAATTTTGAGACTGGCGCATTTCAATGCTTTTCTAAATAAGAAAGTTGGAAATGCGCAAACCTAAATTTTAAAACTAATGTTAGATTTTCCTTTGTTCCAAGTATCAAATTTCACTTAAATGGTGCCATAGATAAAAAAGTTGGCACTGCGCATGCGCAAAAGAAAATTTCTGGCGCTCGATGATCCTTTATCCAAGTGCCTATGTATCACATTTCATTTAAATTCTTCCATAAATAAAAAAAGTTGGCACTGCGCATGCGCAAAACCAAATTTTGAAATTGGCGTTTGATTTTCCTTTATCCCAAGTGCCTATGTATCAAATTTCGTTTAAATTCTTCCATAAATAAAAAAGTTGGCACTGCGCATGCGCAAAACCAAATTTTGAAATTGGCGTTTGATTTTCCTTTATCCCAAGTGCCTATGTATCAAATTTCATTTAAATTCTTCCATAAATAAAATAGTTGGCACTGCGCATGCGCAAAACCAAATTTTGAAATTGGCGTTTGATTTTCCCAAAGATACTATATAATATAAGGATTGCTCGATCACTGAATTTTTTCGCCGCGTTTAGTGACGTCACTCGCGGACCCAGTACCAGCGCATGCTTTGATTAAGGCCGATTCCCATTATAGCAGCATCGAGCAGCGCGGCGCGGTGAAAAGCTGCTCTCAATTGTTCGCATGTAAATAAGTAGATCCGTTTTCACCTAGGCAGAGCGGTGCAGAGCAGAGCGGCGCGGTGCAGCGCAGAAAATTTTAAACGCGTCGGGAAGCATTGGAATACGCGGCGCTGCTTTGAAACGCGCCGCTCTGCGTGTAGACGGACAAGTGGGAATCGAGAAGCGAAGCAGATCGGCGCCGGCGTGGTGCTGCGGCTTGTGAAAAGCATTTATTTGTCTTCTGTGTTGAGCTTGCGTGTGTTAGTGTATTCGCTATGGACGGACAAAGAATAGAAAAATTAATTGTACTCGTCCGCTTTCTTTTTCTTCTTTTTTCGTCGTGTACATGGCATAGTGCCGCTATATAATATTATGAAATCATCTGGTGATGATGACGACGATGGCTCTTCTTCGAGCGTGTAAGAATACATTCTCCCTTAACCTGAACACAAACAGAAACGCTGCTTCGTCACGCTTCCAAATGGTGCTTAAGT